TTTGAAAAAGTGACATTTTTCCAAAGATTTTGAAAATATGGCATTTTTGAAATGCATTTCTCAAAATTTCTCATTAATCTATTAAGTCCTAAACAACTATATAGTTATCTAATGAATTTTTCTTTAAAACAAAAATTATTATGACTACACAAAATATATAGTTACCTAGTGCAGTTTTCCTAGCTCGATAGCCCAAAGATATTTAGCTATGGACAAATTCCATCTAATTAAAAACAATTCAAAATGTGGTCAATCATTACTTCCAATTAATTGACAATTTAAAGAATTCCTACTATGTTCTTTCTATAAAACAAGAATATTATTTTCATTTCATGTTTGGACATGATTTTGCTAAATAATTAGATATGTTAAATCAAAATAATAGGTACATCTAAAAAAAAGTAAGTGCATGTTGCAAATTTTTATCTAACGCACAATATCTATAAGTAATGTAGACTAAGATTTGTGTATATCAAAACTAATTAGTACACAATCATAATGTTAGTAGTAAAGAGTATATAATAAAATAAAGAAAATTTTTAAAAATGCTATTTTTTAAGTGTCACTTTACAAAAATGCTACATTTTTGAAATTTTTACAAAAATGCCACTTTTTCAAAATTATTTTTTCTTTATATGATTTATGTTTAGGTTAACTATGTTCTATTAGGGTTTAGTTATAAGGGTTTAGGGGGGTTTAGGGGTCAAAACATTTTTTAGTTTTTAGAATTTTGAGATATAAGGTTTAAAAATCTATAACTAGTGGCTTTTTTGCAAATAAACACCCCTAAATGACATTTTTGCAAATGTGTACATGCATTTTTGCAATTTCCCCTATAATAAAGCTATCAGTCTTTATACACATGGCTTGACATCACTAAATGACATCCGGAGTTCCCCCAAACACTTCAGTAGAGTTAATTGTTACCTAACCGAATAACAAATTTCCAATGAAGTGTTCGAGAGAACTCCAGAAGACATCTAGTTGAAATATTAATATTGTGTTGTTGCAGTACGAAGTAACCACCATGGACATACGTATACATATTATATGTTTTTTTTGTTTAGATGTAGGTGTATTTACAAGAGGAGAAGATATCAGTATATATAAGGTCTTAGATCTCTTAGGGTTTGAGAAAGATAGAAGGAGTGACATATCTATTTATAGTGAGGATTAAAGAATCTCATGTATTGAGAATGTGTGAACCTGGACGTAAACTTGGGTTCAAGAGTTTGGACAAGTGAATCAATCTTTCCTTTTCTTCAGTCTTTTCGCGAGATATAAAATGTAGTTCTTACAAAAACATCGTACATATACACGATTCGTCGATTTGTAAGGTGTGGTCGAATCTAGATTCGTCGATTACTCGTCATAAT